AAAGCTGTTCGCAGGTTTGGGGCTGGCCCCCAGCATCAGAAGCAATTTGCGGAGCAACCGTGAATTCAAGGTTTCTGATGGAAAGGGTACTCATTGCTCATGCTTCGCTGCCACTGATGCACTACAAGAAAACTGCACATTGCAGATCCACTTTTTTGAGCACATGCTCTCCCTCATGCTCTGAGCAAGCAGCTACGTCCAAAGGTTCTCCTTGAGTGCCAACGCCTCAGTGTGGCACGTGGCCGCACAGAACATCTTTGCAAAAACGATTGCCAGCCTTACATTGCGGCCACGCTCATGGCCCATCGGCTACCAACAGCATCTCTGTCAACCCCGGACAACTCCAAACACTGGCTGGGGCGGGGGGGGGGTCTCCTTGCTTTTAGCCAGCCTGGAAGCGCAGCCAACGACCCAAGTGACGCCAAAAAAGCGTGAGGCGCCCGGGAAAGCTCGCCGTCCTTTCAGCCAACGCTCGGCGTTTCGCGAGACATTCCCGGGGATGCGAGTGACGACCAGCTTGCGACCAAAGGCGTCATGGGCTGCTCGAAATGGAGTGTTTGCCAATCGAAACCCATAATTCCTTTGGCACAGCCACTACAAAGGGGACCCTTTCGTAAGGCAAGGTAAGGATTAAGGATTGCCTTTGAATTGCCCAAATGCACCACTTCACCGTTTTAAGCTTCTTGCTAATATGTTCAAGTAATCGACACTGCGAGCATCCTATATAGCCTAATGGCTGGGTTCTTCTTTGGCATCCTCTAAATTTTGCTGGAACAGCCTCGAACAAGCTGCAAGGATCAACTTGGGGGGCAGTAGCTGAGGATGCTGGGGATGTTCATCATTCTATACACGACTTGACTGTTACCTTAGGCGCTGTCATTCGGACTGCTCTATACGCTGAGGCTTGATAGTTCTGGGCTGGGGGATGTTGCCATTTTAGTCTACAAACCACATCATTAGCCCACGGGCGGGTCTGAAGCATGGGGGATCAACATGTCCTCCCATGCTTCCTGCTTCAGCTGTTTGCTGGCTTTTTGCTGAGCGCTGTTCCTTGTACGTGCTTCATGTTTCAGTCTCGTGGGGTCTGTTGTTTCCTTTCAGAGCTTACTCTCATTCTGGCTCCCAGTTGCTCGAAATCTCACAGTGACATCGAGGACCCTTCTGGAACAAGCACAAAAATCTTGCACTGCCTTGCGTGACTCATTCGCAGCCCGAAACCTTGGAAATCCACTTCGTCAGGACTAAACCTACTTGAAGGGGCGATCGGGTACTTAGTAAGTGGATAATAACCTAACCCACTGAACGGAGACTTACAACCATGATAATTAAGGAGGTAAAACCATGGTGAATTACCCACTTTCCTGATGTACCGAATCGATCGCCTCGAGTGAAGTACGAGGCCAAGAGCTTTGAGTTTGCCGAAACGGGAAAAACGGCCTGGCAGAACGCCGCTTCCATCCGGATCTGTCGGCTAAGCGCATCGGTCTAATGAGCGGAAAAGGGTGCCACCTAAAGGGCCACTCCTTTTCAAAGCAACTCCTGCTTGGATCTTCGTCGCCAACTCGGGAGGTTCTAACCACGCTTATACGGGAACCAGCCCCAATCACCCTAGTCATAACCGCTGTTATAAGGTTATAACCTGCTAAGCTGGTAGGCGGTTGGACACCCAACACGGAATACCTTCTCAATCTCTGAGCCCTCGGCGCTGGCGTTTGCGGGGCTGCGCAGAGCAAACGGCCACGGCTTCACTCGAGCGCATCCGGTGCCTTAGGACGAGTGCCAAGCTGAAAGCATCGACTCTGGCTCACAACCCAAATCACCCGATTTCTGGGCCTATCAACCCCCTAAACGCTCTCAGACGTGTGGGCGGAAGGGGGAGAGGGGGAGGGCTTTCCAATCCTAACCTGTGAGACACCAAACCGCAAAAAGGGAAGAGGATCGCGGTTGAACAACCAAACAATTTCTAATACGCACTTGGCTCCCAGGACTGCGCGCTGTGCATTGAGCTACTGTGGATTGACGAAATCCGTTCGCACCGCCCTGAAACCATGCGACACCAGCGGTGTTTGGTATTTACAGGGAGATCATCAGAAACCAGCGCTTCTTAGGTGGTGCAGGATTTAGTCCATCCACAGTATGGCCTGGACATGTGCTGAGAACCACGCGAGCTTCTTACATACTCCTGCTCCAACGCCTTGGCCTGTCAAGTGGCATTAAACGTAAGCGCAGAAGGCAGCAAGTTCTTTGTCTCCATGCAGCACCGGCACACAATTTGGCCTCTTGGACACAACGGCCCATCAATCCAAGTGCTTCAACCACAATGCACACACGAGCCAATCTTGCGCGCGTCAACTTTGCTTGACCACCTTTTTCGCATAGAAACTGCTACACTTCTATGTTTTGTTCGCGTCCTCTTGCCGTGGCGCTGCTCAAAGCAAGGCCAGCTAGGTCATTTGAAGGCTCGCTTTCGAAAGTATCTTGATCCTTTTTGGCCGGAGGCCCCTTAAGTACAGATTTTACCATGTCGTTGAATAGCTGGGCCAGCTCCATCTCCGCTTGCGACAAAAAACGTGTGCCGTTCACATCAGCAAAAAACGCTGCACGCATTGACATGGATGCTTGACAAGACATGGCATGGGCGGGACAATATATCAAGAGATATCGCAACTAGACAGTTAACTCACATTCACTTAGTAAGGAGCGGACACTGGCGCAAGCCGGCGCCCCCCCCCGCCAGCGCCTCCCGCTGCTCCAGCGAAAGGCCCGCAGAAGGCTCCCTTGAACGCTGTGAATGGCTGAGATCAATCGGACAACCCTTCACTGCTTTGCCACCGGTTTCACGCCTCCCCTCAAGACTCTTCAACAGGGTGACTTGAAGCAGCCTGATAGCATGACCTCGCAAGAGCATTTCTGCAAATATGCAGGGTCCGACCCGCGGACGGTTGGCTTGGGTCAAGCTTTGGCTGCATCCAGATGAAAGCACCAGCCGGGCCATGACAAGGCGCTTGCCCCAAAGTTGTCGATCCAAACCATCAATCAGAGGGAAGCTGAGTTGTGGTGACATCGCAGAAGGTACGGGAGGGATAGAAAGACTGTTGAGAATTACGCGGTTTGGAGGTTAGGAAGTGGTTTCCAATTTACCCTCTACACTAAAATCAGGGGTTCAATTCCAAATCCCAAACCACCAACCCAAACCACAAATTTGGGGGAATACAAACAACACCTCCAAACACCATGCGGAGGCACCAGGCCAAGCAATTGCCCAATTGCTGGCAAGGTTCTGCACAGCCGGCAGCGGTTCGATTCCAGCCCGCCTGGAATAGCGCGATCGTGTCAAGCTAGGTGGTTTGGATTGCTGGTTTGGTGGTTTGGGATGGTTTCCCCATTTACCCTCTACAAGATAAAGAGGGTTCACATCCGCAAACCACCACCAAGTAAGGGTTACTTGAATTTGTGCTGTCAAGTAGTTGCAAACAAAAATCCATCCATCCTCCTTTCTGGAAGAAACTGGCCTTCAACCAAACGGTGCTGCCAAACACGATGCTATAAGCTAAGGACGCCAAGCCGACATGAGAAAACACGTCTGCGGTCACCTGATCCACGTCCCCGGCCTGTTGAAGCTGCGAGCCTGCGACACCTCCCCGGCCAAAAGGCGCTTGTTCACGCGCTGGTCCAAGTGGGCCTCCTCTTCGAGATAGGCCTACGCCAGGCCAAATGCGGTACCACACATTTCTTGGCTGGAATTAGGACCCCTTTTTTTTGCCTGGTTAGCGGACAACAAAGGGGACCCCCGAAAAGCAAAAAATATACCAAACAAGACAGAGCCAACGAACCCGAATGCGCATCACTTTGCGCAAGCCCAAGAAAATACATAGAGAGAACATTTTTCGGTATAAGCCAATGGGGCCCGCAATCAAGCCAACTGCCCAAACTATGTTTTTCAGCTTGTAAAACTGTTCTTCGCTCCACTTGTTGCTACAAAGTTACGATTTTCAATCTGGAGCTGGACACCTGTGCTTCGCGCGCTAGACTTGTACTACAAAGTTGCGATTCTCCAGCCAGAGCTGGAAAACTGTACTTCGCGCACTAGACTTGCGCTTCACAGCTGCGATTGTCCAGCTAGAGCTGAAAACCTGTACCCTGCGTACTAGACTTGTGCTACAAAGTTGCGATTTTCAATCTCAAGCTCCAAACCTGTACTTTGCGTGCTATACTTGCGCTTCAAAGTTGCGATCTTCCAGCGAGAGCTGGAAACTTGTACTTCACGTACTATACTTGTACTACAAAGTTGTGATTTTCCAGCTAGTGCTGGAAACCTGCACTTCGCGCACTAGACTTGTACTTCAAAGTTGCGATTGCGCGCTATACTGGGGCACAAAGTTGCAATTTTCGAGCGGGCTTGTACTACAAAACATGCAATTTTCCATCTAGAGCTGGAAACCGGTACTTCGCGTGCCAGACTTGTGCTACAAAAGTTGCGACTCTCCGGCTAGAGCTGGAAACCTGTACTTCGCGTACTAGACTTGTACTACAAAGTTGCGATCTTCCAGCTAGAGCTGGAAACCTGTACTTTGCGCGCTAGACTTGTACCACAAAGTCGCAATTTACTTGCTGGAGCTGGAAACCTGTACTTCGCGTACTAGACTTGTACTACAAGGTCGCGATTTTCCAGCTAGAGCTAGAAATCTGTGCTTCGCGTACTAGACTTGTACAACAAAGTCGCGATTTTCCAGCTGGAGCTGGAAGCCCGTACTTCGCGCACTAGACATGTCAAAGTTACGATTTTCCAGCTAGACTGTACTTCGTGCGGCAGGCTTGTGCTACAAGGTTGTGATTTTCCAGCTAGAGCTGGACTTCGCGCACCTGTGTTTCGCGTACTAGACTTGTACTACAAAGTCGCGATTTTCCAGCTGGAGCTGGAAGCCTGTACTTCGCGCGTTAGACTGGTACTACAAAGTTGCGATTTTTCAGCTGGAGCTGGAAACCTGTACTTTGCGCACTAGACTTGCATTACAAAGTTGCGATTTTCCAGCGCGTGCTAGACTTCTCAGCGACACGTCTGAGCACAACTTCTGATTGACACTTCCGAGGGAATCTTTTGAGCGACACCTGATCAACACTTCTGAGCCACACTTTTTCTGATCGACACTTCTAAGCAACACTTCTGAGCGACACTTTTTCTGATCGACTTTTCTGAGCAACACTCCTGATCGACACTTCTGAGCAACACTTTTGATCCGCACTTCTGGTCGACACTTCTGACCGACAGTTTGAGCAACACTGCTGAGTTGACACTTCTGAGCGACACTTCTGAGCAACACTTCTGATCGACACTTCTGATCGACACTGTTGAGGAACCCTTCTCATCAACACTTCTGAGCAACACTTCCGACCCAGACTTCTGATCGACACTTCTGAGCGACATTTCTGTCAAACACTTCCGAGCAACACTTCTGAGCGACGCTTCTGAGCAACACTTCCGACCGACACTTCCGAGCAACACTTTTGAGCAAGCCTTCTGATCGACACTTCGGAGTTACACTTCTGAGCGACACTTCTGACCAACACTTCTGATCGAGGAACTTCGGATTGACGCTTCTGATCCACACTTCTGATCGAGAGTTCTGAGCATCCACATTGCTCATCGACACTTCTGAGCGGCACTTCTGAGCAATACTGCTGAAATCAGTTTTCTGAGCGACACTGACACTTCTGCGTGACACTTCCAAGCAACACTTCTGATCGACACTTCTGACGTACAGTTGAGAGCAACACTGCTGATTCGACACTGCTGATCCACACCTCTGACCGACACCACGATCGACAGTTCTGAGCAACACTTCTGATCGATGCGTCTAATCCACACTTCTGATCGATACTTCAGAGCGACACTTCTGCGCAACACTTTTGAGGGAGCAACGCTTCTGACCAACACTTCTGATGCACACTGCTCATCGACACTTCTGAGCAACACTTCTGAGCAACACTTCTGATCGACAGACACTTCTGGTCAACACTTCTGATCCACACACTGCTGAGCAACACTTCCGACCGACACTTCCGAGCAACACTTGTGAGCAACACTGCTGATTCGACACTGCTGATCGACGCCCCTGACCGACACCTCTGATCGACAGTTCTCTTCAACACGTCTGACCGTTGCTTCTGATCAGCGCTTCCGAGCAACACTTCCTTGAGCAAACGCACCCACACACATGTAAGCGACGCTTTTGAGCGACAATTCTGAGCGACACCTCTGAACAACACTTCTGGGCAACACTGGGCGGCACTCCTGAGCGACACTCTGCAAACACCTTTGAGCGACACGTCTGAGCCACACACACACATCAGCAACTCTGCTGAGCGGCACTCCTGAGCAACAATTCGAGCAACATTTCTACACACATATCTCAGAGCGACGCTCCTGAGCGAAACTTCTAAGCGACGCCTCTGAGCAATTAGCGACACCCCTGAGCAACACTTTTTGAGCACACATCTGATCGAAACTTGTGAGCAACACTTCCGAGCAACACTTCCGATCGAAACTTCTGACCGAGACTTCCGAGCAACAGTTCTGCTCGACACTTCTGAGCGACACTTCTGAGCAACACTATTGACTGACACTTCTGATTGACACTTCTGGGCAACACGTCTGATCCACACTTCTGATCTGATCGACAGTTCTAGTTCTGAGCAACACTTCTGATCAACACTTCTGACAACATTTCTGAGGGACACGTCTGAGCGACGCTTTTGATCAACACTCCTGAACGACACGTCTAATCGACACTTCTGAACGACACTTCGAATGGACAACGGTACTTCTGTCTCCAAAGGCGCACCGCGCCACAGCGAGAGAGCACCCAAAGTGCGCAGAGGGTTCACCGCACCACAGCGAGAGCGATTCGACCCTCCCACAGTGCGCAGAGGGTTCGCTTCGCGGTCTCAGCGATCTCGCTGAATCAAAGTCGCGCCTGCCACGAATCTACACCCAGGCGCCAAAGTACTGCGCCTGCCACGAAATCTGCACGAAAAGCTCCAAAGCGCAGCGCCTGCCATGAAATTCAAGCAAAACGCTTGAAAGTGCTGCGCCTTTCACGCAAAGTAAGCTTGCCACGAACTCAAAATCATCCAAGCTGCTGGACCTGCCACGAAATCCAGCTTTGACACGTTTACAACACGCATCCAAAACTAGCACGGGGCTGTGGCGCCAGAATGGTTTCGACCAATTTTGACATGTTTCAAGCTCGCCAAAACGAGCCGATTGTACGACAGGGCCAACGAAAACGACACCGGCGAAAACACTATCACACGCCTGCCAAGCAGGACAACTCAAAACGACCACCCCTGGATCGCAACTCCCACTGGCACGGCAACGAGAACGCGCAGCCTTCCAAAACACTGCGCCTGCGCAGCAGAACCATGTCGGACACGCTAAGAGCTACGATTCCCGCACAGGCGACGCTTGAGAATGCAAAATCAACGACTTCTGGTCACGTC